AAGTGTATTTTATATGTATATATCCATTCTATATACTTATACATATTTATATACATATATCTAGATGTACATATATATGTTTACATATTAAGAACCACAATGAGATACTATTAGACACCGACAAAATTGGCAAAAATTGTAAAACTGGACAAAACCATCCATTTCAATGCACGAAGAAGCTGGCAAGAAAGTATAAAAAGACAAGTAACCTGCTGCAGCCAGGCAAGCCCCGAGGTAAACGAATCAGGCTGAGGGATGGAAGAAAGGAAATGTGTGACTTGCTTTGGAGCTGGGTGAAGAGGCAGAATCTCCAGTGAGAACCGTGGCCCCAGCTGAGCCCTCACGTGGCCAGTCTCCCCCGGATTTACTCTCTTTAGATTTTTGCTCTATGCTTCCCAAAACAATTCTTGTCCAGACCACCAGTGACCTCACCACTGCTAATCCAGCGGTCATTTCTCAGTCTCAGCATACTTGGTCTCTCACAGAATATTTTTTTATTAGGGCGAAATCCACATAACATAAAATTTATCATTTTAAAATACAATCCAGTGGCATTTAGTCCCTGCACAATGTTGTGCAACCACCACCTCTCTCAAGTTCCAAGACATTTTCATCGCCCCCAAAGAAAATCCTGTAGCCAACAGTCACCGGCTGTTCCCCACTCCCCCTAACCCCTGACAACCACCAATCTGCTTTTTGTCTCTATGAATTTACTTATTCTGGATATTTCGCATGCATGGAATTATGCCCTTTCACAGAATTTAATGCAGCCGACCACTTCCTCTTCCTTTACAAACTTTCTTCACGTGGCTTCCAGAATACCTCTGTCCTGGTTTTTATTATCTCTGTCCCCACCTATCCCTTGGCTGACTCATCTGCTCACATGGTTTTCAGTTTCATTATGTGCTGCTGATCCCACTTTTTTTTTTTAATTGATGTTAGAAAGAGAGGAAGTGGTAGAGAGAGAGAGCCATCCATTTCTTGTTCCACTTGTTTATTCATTCGTTGGTTGCTTCTTGTACATGCCCTGACCAAAGATCAAACCCTTAACCTCGGCATTTCGGGACAACACTCTTAACTGACTGAGCTCCTGGGCCAGGGCATTGGGAGGGACTCTTAAAGAACACCAGTGACGAGTGCAAAGGCACTTTAAACTCCCTGAGGTTCTTCTGAGACGTCTCAGGGGCTTCTTGGTTGGGGTTTGGGGAGAGTTGGGTGGGGCTCCGCACCGACTCTCCCAGTCCCCACCCTCTTCATCCACACTCTTCAATTGGACCTGCTCGACTTTGATCTAGTTTATACATGGGGTGTAGACAGATTTCCTTTAAAGAAAGAATTCTGTAGATAACAACCATTCACATGCACCTTAAAAATCACTAACCACCCAATTGAACAGATGGGCAAACTGGGGCCCTGAGAAGGAAAGGGAGCTGCCTTGGAAGCCCAAGCCAGGCACAACATGCTGTTTGCTGTACGCAGCATGTGCTGTTCCAAGACAACACCAGGCCTTTTCTCCACTCAGCCCAGCTGCCAACATGGGGTCACATGTGGGTTGGGGGCTCTTAACAAAGGCAAAGTCAGCCTGCGGATGCGGGGTGGATAGGGGGCCCAGACGGTTTCATCAGGGGCTCAGTGGTGAAGGGACTAATCTCTGGGAGCAACTTCGCTTTCAGACAACACAGAAAACACCAGAATTGGCCTAACGCATCGGAAGGAACTTCCCAACAGGTATGGGACTATGAAGTTCCATGCATCAACCAGGACCCATTCATGGGAAAATTACAATCTGTACTTCAGCAACAAAAGGATACAGCAGTACTGGTTTCACTGGTCAATCCAGTTGTAATATACAGGTATATACATACTTTTAAGTACTCAGTGCCTCCTGCTGCTGGAAGATAAAAATGCACAAATAAGCTCACAATTTCATTCTTCAGATCTGTGCAGTGAGGAAGTAGAATGCCAGAACCAGGAGCTAAAGGACATAGGAATTTTCTAATGAGAATCACAAAATCCTTAGGGGATGCCTGTAGGGACTGGGCAGGTGACATAAATGAGGGGTCTCAGGCAATTGACAGGCAGGGCTGAGAAGACATGGGGAATGCATTTGACCTCCTAGAGTGTTCAAAGTTAAAAAAAAAAAGTGTTACTTATTTTTAAAAATAATAAATTCTCATGCTACAGAGTTCAAAGGATATGCACAAAATAAGATTAATTGAAGGATAAATCTCCCTCTCACTTCTGCCACCCAGCCAAGTTCTCCTGCAAACAGTGTCCCTTGAGAAAGAGATGCTACCCATAAAATATATTTGTATACAAATGATAGCATATTATAAATATGATGTTTTTCTTTGTTTTTTTTTGTTTTTTTTTTTATATATTGTTAAGGTTGTAGAGCACTTTCCACATCCCTACCTAAGAGCTTCTGGGTTTTTGTTTTTTGGTTTTTTGTTTAAGATTTTATTTATTTATTTTTAAAGAGAAGAGAAGGGAGGGAGAGAGGGAGACATGCGAGAGATAGATCCATCGGTTGCCTCACACAAGCCCCCAACTGGGGACCTGGCCTGCAACCCAAGCATGGGTCCTGACTGGGAATCGAACCCACAGCCTTTTGGTTTGCAAGCCGGTGCTCATTCCACTGAGCCACACCAGCCAGGGCTGTTGTTTTTTTTAAGTAGTTTATAGTATTCTGTCAGATGAATATACCAAGATTTTCAAATCAATGAACATTTAACTTGTTTCCAATATATGCTATTATTAAGCAACTCTGTGATTAATAGCTCTGTCTATTGTATATGTCATTTTGCATGTGTGTCAGTGTCTCTATAGGATAATTCCCTTAAAGTAGATTTGCCTTCTTAAAGGCTGTATTAATTTACATTTCTACCAATAATATGTAGGAATGTCTATTATCGCCACTCTCTTGTCAACACACTGTGAGTGTATTTTTTGTTTTTAAATTAAATATTGTGCTGTGGCCAAAACAAAAACAATTAATTGAAATTGCAAATGAGTGATCCCTAAATTCTAGTTCAATATCTTCATTTCATAAATGACTCCTGGGGAGTGGAGTGATTTGCTCAAGTTCACACAGCTAGAAACTCGAGAACTGCAATCAGAACCAAGGTATATTCTTCATCACGGTCTTTTTTTTTTTTTTTCCCCTGATAAAATTGAGAGTCAGAGAGATTAACTCATTTGAAACTAACTGACAGCCAGATAAAAACCCGGGTCATCTGATTTCTGCCTCTTTACCATGCTATCTCAATTCACTGGATGTTATTCATTCGTTACTTCAATTTTCATTCTCATCCCTTCAGTGGTTAAGACCATTGTTTCTGGAGTCACATTGACCTCGCTTTGAACTCCAGTTATATAACTTACTCCTTGTGGCGAGTGATTAAAGCTCCCTGAAGTTCACTGCCTTCATCTGTAAAATGGGGGTACATATTAATCAGATTTCATTAGGTAAGGCTGTGTAATAAGTAATCCCAGATCTCAGAAGCATCTAAAAGCAAAGGTTTATTTAGAACTTGTACAACATTAGATGGGGAATACTTCACATCTTTTTTTCCTTCCAGGACCCAGAAGGAGTGTGGGAGCAGCCCCATCCAGGACAGGCTATTCTCATGAGTGGAAAAAGATCAAGCAAGCTGGCAGAAACACATAATAGCTCTTAATACTTTGGCTCAGATGTGTCAAAAGCCACTTCTGTTCATATTCCATTGGCCAAAGAAAGTCACATAATCCATCCATCAGTAAGGCTGGAAAGGACACTCTTACAGGATACATTGCAAGTGATCTAGCAACAGGTGGCGATACATAATCCTTAACAGGAAGATCTACTTAATAGTTGGGAACGATAACACCTACTATGGGATAATAATAGTACCTTACTTGCATCTGTTGTGAGATTTAATGAGGGAAAACACACCCAATGCTTAACACATTATTCTGCGCTTCATAAGGGCATAATAACTGTTGGGTGCTATTATTATTATTACCTCCCCGTGCTCCTGAAACTTTTTCTGCCCACTAGCATGTGCTAAACCTGACTTGAGAGGAAGAAAAGGAGCTGTAATTACTCCCAATATTTAATTTGCAGACAATAAATCATTGAGTCTAAGGGCACAGGCTTTGGAGCAACGTGGACTCCTTATTAGAGCAGATGATCTGAGACAAGTTACTTAACCTCTCTGATCCGTAGTTTCCTCAACATGAAAATGGGCATCATTGTAGACTTGTCATTAGGGCTAAGTTAGCCCAACCCTGTGCACACAGTGCGTGCTAAGTTTTTGGTGAATTACTGAATGTGGATTTTAGACTAACTGCAACATTCAATGAACTGTAATAACATAACCACAATACTGCCATATGGAAAGCCCTTTTCCCGCCCTTTCCATTTTTGGGTCTCGGGTCAAATATCACTTCCACAGAGACCTTCCCTGACCACACCATTTAAAGTGCTTCCCCCGTCTCCAGTCACTTCTCACCATTTTCTTGTCTTTACAGCTCTGGTAATGCCCTGAAATTGCTTTGTTTATTCATTGCTTTATTTAATATTTGTCTCTGTCACTAGAAAGGAAGCTCCACGAAATCAGGGATCTCGTTTCCTGCATTCTCATCTCCTGCTCTGGGCCTTAGCAGCCTCACCTACAGGCTGCAGGGCGAAAGAGAAAGAGAAGAAAAGTGAACACCTGGCTCCACGCTCCGCCAAACTCAGGCCTCAGATTGCTTCCGGTGCGAGCAATACCTGTGTCATCCACGTGGGCTGCAGTGGCGCCACGCCCCTGGTGGGCGTGGCCTCCAATGTTGTGCTAGCCGCGTGCGGGCTGTGGTCGGCAGGAGACGAACTCACGTCACACGCACGCAGGCCCCGTCCCCGCCCTGTCTCGCAGCTGGAGGGGAAAAGGGCGTGACCAGACGCGAGGTCCCCGCAGCAGCCGGCGCCGCCGCCTGAACGCCTCCAGGTGGCTGCTCTCTGCTCCAGACGTTCAGGCAGCTCGGAAGCCACTCTGTTTTGGGGTCCTCGCTGCCCTTCCACGTCTCCCGGAAGAGTAGCAGGGCCTTGGCAGGGCCGTGGCGGGACTGTGGCAGGTGCGGGGCTCCTTTACTCAGCCTGGCCTTTTCTCGGCCGGCTGCTGGGGGGGGGGGGCGGGGGGACCAGGAGGGTGTCGAGGCCGCGGTGCAGCCGCTCCAGAGTCCTCAGGTGAGGCAGCGGCCAGGGCCCAGTGGGTAGGACGGGTCCTCTTAGAGCGTTTATAGCCTGAAACGCGGGGGCGGCGTCCCCTTACCCGAGCCTTTGGTCTCTCTGCCCGGTGAGGGGCGGAGGAAAGGGGAGAAAGAGCCCCCTTGGGCCTCGGCCGACTTTGTTTCGTGCCCTCCCCGTTCTTCCCTTTCTCTCACCCCCAGCCTGGTTTGACCACTCTTCCCCCTTCGGAGGCTCAACAAGGTGGCGGGGAGCAAAGCGGGGATCTGCGCTCGCCTACCCAGGATCCACTGACTGTCACTTCCTAGGGCTGACCAGCAGACCCCAGCCTCCTTTCGTGTGTGTTGACACCTGGCCTTCCAGCGGGCCCTGCCGCCGCCACCCGCGTCCCACGCACTCTCTCACCCTCTCTCTGCCTCCGCCTGGGCTGGTTGCTGGGGCAGCGCCTAAGGAATTATTTGAGGGGCTTGTGCTTCTGAAGTCAGTTCGGGATGTTTGTCAACGGGGCCTGTGCCCAGGGCCCTCTTTAGTGTATGTTTCATTGGGTAGTATTAAGCCACAGGGTTTTGTTTTAAAGCCCTATTAACTTTAAAATGGAAGATGCCATATAAGGCATTAGAGTGTGAGTGTGTGTGTGTGTGTGTGTGTGTGTGTGTTTTGCTTTATTAGGAGTGATAATTTGCCCCCGATATCACCAGTGTTTACTCGAGAACAATGCATTGCATCTGTAGGGAATTTTGTATGTTACAAAGCATTTCAGGGCCGTTTTCATTTGGTTTCACATAAGCTCTGTGAAATGCATAGGCAGGCCAGGCCGTGGTCCCATTTTTCACAAGGAATGGCTTCAGAGGGTTGCTTGAGGTTATTCAGATATTGAGAGGCTAGATGGGAAATGCAGGGATTAAAAACTAGGTTTGGCTGGCTTAGATTTGAGCATCTGAGCTTCCAGTTAAACTCTGGGATCTTTCTAAACCTTTTCCCCACTTGTGGAAAAAAGGATACAGGTATTGCTACTTATCACATAATATTTTTGTGAATATGATATGATGAATGTTTGCGCCACATCTGACGTGCAGATTCCATTCAGCAGTATTTATGGGTGTGTGCTGTGTGCTAAACGTTGGAAATTCAGTGGTGAGCAAAATAAACAGGATCTTTATCCACCTACTCCCCTTCCCCAATAGGGAGAGATAGGGTAAAAAACCATAATTATAAAACAAAAAAGTGGCTGTGAGGGAAAAGAATAGCATGTGAACCCAGAATGGAAAGGCCTAATTTAGATGGAAGGAAAGAGGTTTTTGGAGCAGATGACATTCAAGTGGAGATTAAGAATCAGAGTGAACAGTGAAAGAGTTTTCCAGGCAAGAAGAACAATGTGCACATTCAAGAAATGTTTGTCGACTTTTTTATACAGTACTGTTTCTTGTAGATCATAAGGATTTGTCATTATGATCCATTGTGTCAGGCCATAAGTACTCAAACATATGTATCAAATGAACGGCTATACAGTATTGTTTTTATTCTGAATTTAGCTTAATGTGCATGATACCAACTATTTAACTTACTGAAGATGTACTTTATTTTTATTTTTTTAAAGGTTTATTTTATTCTCGTTCGAGAGAGAGGGAAAGGGAGAGAGAGAGAGACAGAGAAACATCAATCAGTTGCCTCCCATATGCACCCTCACTGGGGATTGAACCGGCAACCTAGGCTTGTGCCCTGACCCTGAGCTGAACCAGCGACCTTTCAGCTATGGGACAATGCTCCAGCCAACTGAGCCACACTGGCTGGGGCCGAAGGTGTACTGCAGACAGACAGATTGTGTGTACACCTAAGTTATCCATAGTAGAGCTGCATTTTAAGAAGATGAATTTTTGTATTAATCAGAAGTTTCTTCAACTTTTAGCACCTTAAAACAAACTTCAGGGAATTGTTTTTATTTGGTTGCACTGAAATTTTGCTATATTATTTGCTGTTTGGATGCTTTCCTACATTAACAATTACCCTTTGTTGAAATAGGAGTAATAACAATAGCAGTAGTTAAAATTATGGTAATAGCAACTACTAAAATGAGTGCCTACTCTGTGCCACGCATTCTGCAAAGTGTTTTTATATTTCATCTTAAAAGTGTCCCGTAACGTAAATGCACTTGTTTTACTCATTTTTCTCCTTTTTTAACTTTTTAAAAAATGTATTGATTTGAGAGAGAGAGAAACATTGATTTGCTGTTCCGCGTCTATGTGCATTCAGTGATTGATCTTCTCTGTACCCTGGCTGGGCACCTGCAACCTTGGTACATCAGGATGATGCACTGTCCAACTGAGATACCTGGCCAGGGCTAAACCTAGATGAAGTTCCTCAGGTTCAGTGGTTTTCTCCAGGTTACACAGCTAGTACGAGGCAGGGTTAGGCATTCAACCCAGACTGATTCCAGAGCCTGGTCTCAACTGCTACGTTCTGCCGTTATGCCACACTGATTGCGTCACGCCCTTTTTACAGGTTTGCCAGTAGGATTATTCTGCTGCCATCATGTCCTGGTTTGCTGATCTTGCTGGAAAGGCAGAAGATCTTTTAAACCGAGTCGACCAAGGGGCTGCAACAGCTCTCAGTAGAAAAGAGAACAGCAGCAGCATCGTATACAGCAAAAACACTGACTATCCTGAACGTCACCGGCAAAACACAGATTTGTCTCATCAGACTGGATCTAACGCTAATTATATTTCCTCAGCAGCTGATAACATTAAGAATCAAAAAGCCACCATCTTAGCCGGAACCACAAATGTGAAAACAGGACCCAGGGTGTCAGGGGAGGCCTCCCATACCGTTGAGAACTCATCTGTGCCTCGGCCTTCATCGCAGTTTGTTCGGAGAAAAAAGTCCGAACCTGATGATGAGCTGCTGTTTGATTTTCTTAATAGCTCACGGAAGGAACCTACGGGGAGGGTGGAAATCAAAAAAGAAAGGGGCAAGACACCTGCCCTTCAGAGCTCTCCGACAGCAGGTGTCGGTGCAATGAATACCAGCGTAACCACCGTCAAAACTACTGAAGAAAGTCCCTCTGGGAGCCAAAGCCACGGTAGCTAATCAGTCCTCTGTATCCTTTAGAGTTAAGCAAATTCATGTGTCATTTAGCCTAATACATTCTGGTAGTGTTTCTCATCCTCTGTTTTGTTACCTGTTCCCACTGGGGTCCGGGCAGGCTCTCTGAAATGTGTGGTATAAGCAAGGGAGACAGCATGGAATGCTGTTGGTCCATCTACAGTGATAGCAGGGACCTTCCAACGTTGTCTGCAGGGTCACTGCCCACCCCAGCATCTGAGAAACTGCATCCAAGAAGATTCTCTAACGTATTTTAAGGTCCAAAAAAGATAATTTTGAAATCTGAAAGAAAACATAATTTTGGATTTGGGACTATCTCAGTTCATTTCTTTTTGTCATTGGGGTTATAAAAATGACAGCAGGCTGTACTTCACATGTATTCTTGATTATATGGGTTTTGTGTGGGGGGGGTTTCCCCCCCTGCATTTCCCCCAGAAGTAAAGTTGAGGGACTGAACTGTGATCCAAATTGAAGAGTTGAAGGTATTGACCTAGTAGTGAGGTAAAAGCTAAGAATTCTAGTTTTCAGTTGTTTAATTTGCTGTGAAATTACCTCTACGTGTACCTCCTCTCATCTGCAGAAATGAGGTTAACATGGTAATGTGGCTAATTCAGGTACTTGCTAACCATTTTTAAATAGCAAGAAACATGATAGGATCCTGCAGGGATTCCTTGTAATGATGATTAATGGAAGTCTGTTATATTCTTAAATGTTAGAGCTTCCCCTACAGGCTTGGCTGCCAGTGAATAAAATCTGCCTTGTATCTTTGAGATCAAAAAAAAAAAAGTGGTAGAGGCGAGGGTTTGGGGCTTTCAAGATCGGAGCATGCGGTAGCCATTGACTAATTATGTACGCATGCTCCTAAATTTCTCCTCGGCAGCCTGTTCATTGCTTACACAAACATTTATTGAGAACCCTTTGGGGGGCAGGACACACAAGGGGGTGAAAGGAGTCCGAGTGCAGCGGGACACACCTAATTTACAGGCAGTGTCATAACGCAGCGACAGGCATGGTCAGAGGGTTGTGAAACCATGATGGCAGCAGTAACTAGCTGCGTAGGTGTTCAGGTCCGGATGCAGAGGGTCTGTAATTTGAGCTGGGTCTTAAAGAACGAATAGTTTTCCCGGGTGGGAAAGGAGGAGCCTGGAGACAGCATTCCGGGAGAAGGTCCTTTTAGGTTTGGGTGTCGTTCGGGACCCGTGAGTGGGAGGCGGAGAGCAGCGAAGGGAAGGGTGCCAGCAAAGGAAAGGGGGGCCTGTGTGTGAAGGCCCGTGTGTGCCACTGTAAGCCCATTATTCCTGAAAGTCATTCTTTGTTAAAAAGCGGTCCCTGGACGTCTTGCACTGGAATCACTTGTGTGATTAATAAAAAAGGATTGATTAAGTGCCTCTCCAGACTTCTGATTTAGATTTTCTGGTGATGGAGTCAGGGCATCTGAATTTTTCTGTTTTTCAGGTGTTTTCTAGGTCAGTAAAACTTGAAAGTGTCATAGCAGTGTGATGCTAATACAGGCCTTTTAAGCCTAGTTGAGTTGAATTATTTTTTTACTTTTAAGGAAAACAACTTATATTTTAATTGTAAAGGACAGATCAAAGGAGGGATCAGCCTGGTTGACTGGGAAATTAGAACCAGTTAATACATGGGAGTTACAAAACTGATGTTTTCTTTCTCTAGGGTAGGGTCTCACAGTCTTTGGGACTGTTGACATTTAGGATGAATAATTAATTCTTCATTGTAGGGAACTGTCCTATTCTTTGTAGGATGTTCGGCAGCTCCATGGCCTCTTAACCCATTAAATGTCAATAGCAACCCAATTGTGACAACCAACTATGTCTCCATACCTTACCAAACGTCATTTGGGGAGCAAAATCATCGCAGGGTGAGAAGTCCTAGGATCCCTAGAAGTGGAATTGCTGGGTTGAAGGATGTGACAATGTTTAGCTACACTAATGACGAACACCAAAGCTGTTTTCTCAAGAGGTTGTACCAGTTTATACTTCACCAGCTGTTCGTGAGAGTTCCTTTTGCTCTTCATTCTCACTAAAATTTGATAATTTCAATATGACCTTTATTTTTCTTACCCTTACCCAATGACATGCTTATTGATTTCAGAGGGAGAGAAACCGTGAGGAACATTGATTAGCTGCCTTTTGTATGTGTCCTGACTGGGACCAAACCCACAGCCTAGGCATGTGCCCTGACTGGGAACTGAACCCTGGACCTTTTGGTTTGTGGAAGGACGTCCAACCAACTGAGCCACACTAGCCAGGGCTCAATGTGACTTTTTATTTTTTGTTTATCAAGTGTGAAATGTCCTTATTTTTTAAATTTCATTACTAACTGAGGTTGAGCATCATTTCAGATTATTTGACTACTTGGGTTTCATCTAGGGGAAGTACCTGTTCAAGTCTTTCAATCCTTTTTTCCTAATGGATTATTGATTAACAGATTATCTTCCTTTGTAAAATGTAAAATGTTTTGCCCATTGTTTTAGTCCATTTTATCATTTAAATATAGTTCATTTTTTGAGCATGTAATCTTTTATTTTTAAGATTTTATTTATTTTCAGAAAAAGGGAAAGGGAGGGAGAAAGAGAGGGAAAGAAACATCGATGTGTGAGAGAAGCATCAGTCAGTTGCCTCTCACACCCCCCCAAACTGGAGACCTGGCCCACGACCCAGGCATGTGCCCTGACTGGGAATCAAATTGGCGACCTTTCAGTTCACAGGCCAGCGCCCAGTCCACTGAGCCACACCAGCCAGGGCAGCATGTAATCTTTTTAGAGTAAGTAAAAAGTACATTTGTATCATATTTAGTAGCAAATTAAAAACAAGATGAATCTGAATTCCTCAATCTCTATTTCTTTGGGTAAGGCATTTTAGATTCCAGCTTGGTATATAACTGATAGTTGTGACCTGTTACTTACTCCTTGCTTTGAAACCCACAGCTGTTCTTTTGTGCCTTTTCAATATTTTCAATGTTGAGACTTTTTCTTTTTCCCCCCAAAACAATTTGGAGACAAAAGGGAGACCAAGTCCAACCACTTAAATTATCCCTGATTTTATCTTATCCAGTACTGTATTCTTGTATCTATCTTTTATCACCATTCTTTCAATGTATCTAGGATCCTTAGAGGTCTATAGGCTCCATGTATGAGAATGAAATTTCATCAGAGGGCAGTCTCCTGAGAATTTAAGTTTACTTTTTATGGCATTTTAGCTATAGTAGTCCACTTGAGTCAAGAGTCAGTCTACCAAAGTAGGCTGCTAATGTGTATGGAGTGAGCATTCCCATGTAACAAAAATGTATTTCTTTTTAACAGAAGCCTCTAATAATTCAGATTCTGGCCATGAAGTCCAAGAGGATTCTTCAAAGGAAAATGTATCATCAGATGCTTCCTGTGCTGATCACAACCCGAAACCCACGGATGACAGCAAATCACATGAACTGTCTAACCTTCGACTGGAGAATCAGCTGCTGAGGAATGAAGTTCAGTCTTTAAATCAAGAAATGGCCTCATTGCTTCAAAGAGCCAGGGAAACTCAAGAAGGTAGAGCCTTATGCAAGTCGTCCAGGATTAGGAATTTAACATTTCAAAAATAGACTAAAACCTTGATTATAGCTAAGCTATTAGAAAGATGTTAGATGAGACTTGTAAAATAGTGTTTTCACAGAAATACGGGTCCCAGATTTAGAAACGGGACCAGTCATCCTCTCATTAACCCAAAACAGAGAACACGGCTTGTTTGGTCATTTTTTTAGGAACTATGAAATTTAAGAATCGAGAAGAGTAGAACATGAATAATCACCTGGTTTATTTGGCTGACTTGCTCTGAACCTCCAAGGGGAACTCTTGATGAACCAAAGGTGGGATTAAACAAAGCAGTGGGCGCCAGCAGGCGAGGTCACCGTATCGCCCTACTCTAGGGGACATAAAGGAAACATAGCACTTCATTTGAACAGTACCCTCTGGAAGTGTGCAGCACGGTGGCTGTCGGGCGCAAAACCTTCGGGTTTCTGAGAAATGGATAATTAAACAGTTGTCTCCTCACTGAGGTAGTGATGGGGGGATGTATTAGTGTTATTGTAAGTGTGGCTGAGGAGAAAATAAGAGGAGAAATCTCTGCCTTGGTTCCTAGGGGTAATTAGAAAGGTGTGGGGACAGTGGAAAAAGTTTTGCCAAAACATGGACGAGGCCCAGAAGAGTACAATAGGAGGGTAGTTTGTCTTGTTAGGCTGACTTTAGAAGAAGCATCGCTTTACCCAGACTCATGTAGACTTAGAGGTAGAGCTTTTTTTGAGACCCCGTGTAGAGTTTGCATCAATATTTAAAAAAAAATTTTTTTTTTGCAGGCAGACTGCAATTACAAGTGGCACATCAGGGAATGGGAATCTGCACTACACTGTTCTTTCTGCCCAAGTTTCTTAGGTTGAAAGAGTAACATCTTTTTGCCATAATAGTGGAAAGAAACAGATTTTTTCCTGTTCGGTTTTGTTTTTGTTCGTTTGGTCTTGCTGGGGTGTACGTTATCGATTCCTGATTTGGATCTGCATTCTTTTTTGTTTCTAGCAGAACTCTATGCATCCACTGACCGATTTAGTGTTGTAAACTTTCTGCTATCTGCTGATTTTAGCCTCCAAATGCTTTGTGATATATCCCCAGAAAAAAAATTTGTAGGATAGCTCGCATCATGCCTCTTTTCAGCCTATTAACTGTGATATAAACATGAGTATTGGCCTGAAAAATGGGTGTCCCATGTGGACCAAAAAATTTGAAGTTATTTGTAACCTAATTTCAGCAAGAAGCAGGGGTATCCAGCCTGGGGACCACCTGCGGCCCAACACAAAATTGTACATTTACCTAAAACCTTTTTGCTCATCAGTTTTCATTAGTATTTGTGTAGTCATTGTATGACCCAAGACAACTGTTCTTCGAGTGTGGCCCAGAGACACCAAAAGGTTGGACACCCCTGTAAAGGACTCAGGAGAATCTGTGTGTGCTCTGAAAAAGATCTGTGAACTTGAATAGAGGATTTTTTTTTTTTTTTTTTTTTTTTTTTAGAATTAAACCAAGCAAGAGCAAGAATTGAAAAGTGGAATGTTGACCATTCCAAGAGTGATCGAATAACTCGAGAACTCCGAGCCCAAGTAGATGACCTGACCGAAGCAGTGGCTGCCAAGGACTCCCAGCTGGCCGTCCTGAAAGTGAGGCTCCAGGAGGCTGACCAGCTGCTGGACGCTCGCACGGAAGCTCTGGAAGCCTTGCAGAGTGAAAAGTCACGGTAGCTAATTCTGTTAATAATGAAAAAATGAGCTAGGACGATTCTCTTTCCAGTACAAGTAATGATAAACACTGTAGTGTATACTACCTAATGAAAATGTACCTTCTGAAAATTTACAAGAGAAAAATAGCTTTCCGTAATGCTGGAAATGCATGTGATTGAAAATGGATTTATTTGAATTTGAATCCTGAGATGCCTTGTTAGCAAATTCCGAATTTAAAAATATTTGAAGAACATCGTGTCATTTACCTTTTAACATACAATGATAAGTGCTGCATACTTATATTTGGATGCCTAAAAATATAGATGACATTCCATTAAAAGGGAAAAGGATTTCTTTTCAGAATGTTTACCCAAACCATCTTTGTGTGCAAACAAGCTAATGCTGTAAATTAGCCTACCTGGTCACCTGTACACTGTGGAAATGAGTTATTTCAAGTGATGTGTTTTCGTTCAGAATAATGCAGGATCACAGCGAAGGTAGTAGCCTGCAGAATCAAGCTCTGCAAACCCTTCAGGAGAGACTGCATGAAGCCGATTCCACTCTGAAGAGGGAGCAGGAGAGCTATAAACACATGCAGGTGAGAATGGGAGACAACAGAGTTCTTTTATTATTTGGACAAGGAGGAGTGACCTTACGCTGTTTCATGACACATTTACTCTTTAATAAAATTCTGCTGTGCGTTTCAAAAAAACTCTGTTTCTGTGACAAAACCAAGTAGTTGAAAAGTTAGCTTGATATGTGCTAAATTTATTTAATTTTATGTATTGAAATACAATTAAAATAGTTCTTTTAAACGATAAGAGAAAGGTTATTTAGGGAGTCGCAGAGGTAGCAGAAGTGAGCCAGCTGGGCTGCGTGGGCTCAGGAAGCGAGTTACAGAGGCAGAAGGAGGGCCCGTGGAGCTTAGGACAGAGAAGGGCCGAGGTAAAGGCCCTGGGGGAGGGAGAGGGGGCAGAGAAAGACCGTGGAGGGCTCCAGGGAGGAAGGGCGCCTAGAGTGCTTAATACTCATTAGAGGTAGGCATCTTTTCATTTAATTTGGTTGCGCAGCCATCATTACCATTATTTGATTAAAAGCCAACTTGGAGCATCTTGTTTATCTTTATTTAAGCTTTTAGTGACCCCAGTTTATTCTGATTCATTTATTTCAAGACAAAACTGTATATAACATTGAGAGTTTTACTTTTAAGTGAATTTTTGCATCTAGTTCAGTGATTCTCAATCATGTTTACACATTAGAATCACCTGTGTAGCTCTTGCTACTTTCTATGCCCAGTGTGCACCCCCAGAGAGTCTGGTTGCGGTGTATGAGGTAGGGTGTAGGGGTTGGCCTGTTGGTTTTACAACATTCACAGATAGACCTTATGGGCAGTCAGGGTCCGCTGGGGTAGGCTGTCTTTTAAACAGCTGAAAATAATTCAGCCCTGAAATAAATATCAGCTAATGTGGGTTTTTAAAAAAATTATTGATACATTTTAACACGTTATATCTAAAGTGCTTTGTCTCGTGTAGTTAAAATTTATTAGTGAGATATTCTCATTTTTTGCACACTGAGTCTTTTAAAATATGGTGTTTTACACTTAATTCAGAGATTCGATTTCTTTCTGAAATACTTGATCTGTATTTAGAGTTCACAAAACTTATAGATGAAAGAATATATCCAATTCCCAAATTGTTCTAAACATACTCAGTTTTTCAGTAACAGACAGGTCCTCAAAAAGTTAAATAATATATTTACCATATGACCCAGCAATTCAACCCCTAGGTATATATCCAGGAGGATTGAAAATAGATGTCCACACAAAAACTTGTACATGGATTTTCATAGCACATGGTTCATAATCACCCCAAACTGGAAACAGTGCACATGACCGTCAGTTGCTGAGCAGACCCACAAAATGTGGTGCATCTCTACAAGGAGATCCTATTCAGCCGTACAAAGGAATAAAGGATTGATTCGTGCTAAACATGGATGAACCTTTGAAACATTATACTGAGAGAAGACAGACACACAAGGCCACATATTTTATGACTTCATTCATATGAAATGTCCAGAATAGGCAAATCTTTTGAGCAAGAAAGTAGACTCATGGTTGCCAGGGACTGGAAGCGAGGGAAGAGTGGGTGGGAGATTTCTTTTGGGAGTAAAACGTTCTGAAATTAGGTAATGGTAATGATTGCACAGCTCTGTGAGTACATTAAAAACCACTGAATTCTGTATCTTAAGAGGGTGAATTTTATGGTATGTTAATTATATATGATTAAATCTGTTAATTGACTTAGTTTTTATCTTTAAATTTGAATTAGTTAAAGTGAATAAACGTAAAAGTTCCACTCTCAGTTGCATTAGGCGTACTTTACATTCTCAGTAGGCAGCAGTTTTCTTGCTCCTTTTTTTCAAAAGAGAAGTTAATACTGGATCAAAGGTTGTGAGCTTTAGTTACTGTCATGTAACAATAATGCCGTCTGACTGCCGCCTCACCTCCTGAGGTTTTTTTAAGCGATGGGAGCCTTTGAAGATTAAGGTGAAATAAAATCTCGAAACTGTATCCGCTAGTAAGTGACAGGCTGCGTGTTTTTTAGAGTATGCTTTAAAAGTTTCTTAAGTTAAAAAATCACATTGACTGGCTTATCAGAGAATTTAAAATAAAGGGAAAACATTAGCCATGCTGTATGAAAAGATACAGTTCTTATGTCTTTCATTTGTTTTCTAGTAGACTTTCTAGTTTTCTGGAGACCCCGTATCCATTGATCAGCTGGTGTCAGATCCGCTCTACTGTGCAGATGACCAGATCCACCTGGGAAATTCTTTAAAAACAAATTTCCAAGCTCAGTCTGGGAAATTCCAATTCAGGAAGCCCAGGGAAGGCCTTGGGTGGCTGTACTTTTAATAAACTCCCTAACTGATTTTGATGCATTGCCATTGCTGAGAGCCACTCCCTTACAGTCCCTATTGTTCAGTTGCTAATGAATGAAGCATGTTTTTTACCAGCCTGTTACTATGTCGGGCTGAGCTGCCAAATCCTATGATATATCTTAATGGATGCTTATAAAATATATCTCAAAGAAGAATGTCATAAGGATGATATAAAAATTTGTCACAGAGTGAGTTTGCTGCTCGCCTGAATAAAATGGAAGTGGAACGTCAGAATTTGGCAGAAGCAGTTACTCTGGCAGAAAGAAAATACTCAGATGAGAAGAAGAAAGTTGATGAGCTACAGCAGCAAGTCAAGATGTGTAAGTCCAACATGGAGTCCTCTAAGCAGGAATTAATTGACTACAAGCAAAAAGCTACGCGAATACTCCAAGTAAGCATGAAACGTACACGTTTGAATGCTAACATTCCTGTTATCTGGGAGACAATTTAAGACTATAGATCTCTGAGATGATTTGTTCATGTTTAGCTGGATTGGATCATTTCTGGTGCCTTATTCAGAAATATGATAAAAAGGGTGAAATGTCTTTTGTTCCTACTGCTTTTTAATTTAAAGTTCATTCTGCTACTGCCTAGTTCAGGTCTTTAGCCTGTCACCTTAATCACTGTGAGAATGTTTGTTGTTAAACAGCCGTTTCACTCTTCCTTGTTGATCCTGTACTGAATTTTTCAGAGCAGCTGATCTGGGCTTCTTCCAGCTCTCAGAGCTGCCTCACCCACCTTTGTCCCCCTTCCTAAGAAATAAGGGGACCGTACCTTCTTGATTAAAAAGACTGTAGTCAACTGATGCAGTTTCCAACTTCTCTTCCCTTTCCCTCTCATACCCGAAGGAAACCGTGGCCGTTATTTCATCTTTCCCAGGATGACTTGTCTGCCAGGGCACTGCCTGCACCTCCCCCTCCGCGCCCCGCCACGTAACCCCTTTCGCCACAGCTCTGTCCTCTGCTCTGCATCTTTCTGGCTCAGAGTACTCAAGAGCACTTGCTTTCTTAGTGGAAGAATGAAGGAAAGAAACAGTCCTTTTAGCTGCTTTGACCGCTTTGATCCATTTCCCTGTTCTTTCTGTCAGTGTCAGACATATCAGAATCACTGTCTACATGTTGTCTTCATATTAGAATTACTAACTTTAACTCCTGTAATTTCTATCCTCACTACATTTCTGAAATTGTCTTCTTAAAGTCTTAGTGACCTAAATATGTATTTTCTGTCCTTTCTTAATTTCCGCCCACTTTGACTTTGGCAGAGCATTTATACCGTTAGCCCTCCTACCTTCTTGAAACTTCTTCCTTCCAATGCTACTTGCACTGCCTTACCTCTCTTTTTTCTCCTTATCGATGTTTCAGTCTCTGTTGGGCCCCCTTCCCAATCTTCAAAGAGGAAGAGTTCTTTCAAATTCTTAAACCCCCTTTTGTTAATCTTTCTTGCTTTGCATTATCATTTGCACTCACTGTGTGTCTACCCCAGTGTGACTTCAGTGTGTGTCCAGTCCTGAGTTTTCAACCTCAGTTTCCAAACGCCTGCCCTGGGATTCCCAACCTCTAAACCAGCTTCTCCTTCGTTCTCCTCTTTCGAGAAATATTACTGCCATTTCCTAGGCAATAGAGCTTGAAACTGTAGTGTCATTTTGACTCTGCCTTTTCCTTTAGCCCCCACCCTCGTGAAATACCGTGTTCATCTCCTGCAGAGTCTTCCAGTTATTTTACTCTTCCTTACTGACGCCATGTCATCCGAATATCTTAATTCATGTAAAAGATACTTATTGAGTGTCTAACTGTTTCCTAGGCACTATGATAGGTGCTAAGGACACAAAGCTTAAAAGACATGTCCTCTTTCTTAAAAGAGTGTTCCGCGTCATGGAGAGACACTGCAGTAAGTGATAGGGTGGAATTATCGATGTGGTAAGCCCTTAAACCGTAGGGCTGTCAGGGATCACTGGCGATGCTGTGTGATGAGGAACTTGAAAGGTGAGTCAGAAGACTTGTGGTAGGGAAGAGATTTCAGATAGAACAGCCTGGACCAGAGCAAAGGGGCCCTAGGGGAACATGGCATATTTATTGAACCACAGCTAGTTTCCTATTGCTGGTACATAAAGTATGAGATTAAGAGTTAAGAGATAAAACTCAATGACAGTCAGAAGCCAGATCATGGCGGGCCTTGCATGCCATGGGAAGGAGTTTTGATTTTATCTTATAGATGATGGTAGGGGAGTGGGGCAGATATTAGAGAACTTGAGCTGCATGATTAGATTGAGTGTAAAAACTATGGCAGCGATGAGGTCAGAGGAGAGTTGGATCTCTGTCTCGTTTATCGTATCCCAGGACAATGCCTGGCCCTTAGAAGGTACTCAGTCAATTGCAGAGCACGTTGAAGGGAGGAGGACTGGGATGGTGAGATGCAGCTGGTGAAGAGGCAAGTATCAAAAATAGTGGTAAGAAATAATGAGGGCCTGATCTAATTTGTGACAGTGAGGATGCCAAATGGGGGACAACTAAGAGAAATGTAGGAGGTAGAATATATGAGACTGGGAGGTTTAATTGGAGGAAGGGGGAAACGGCAAATGGAATCTAAGATGGCTCCTGATTTCTGGTTTGAGTTTATGAGTGATACTCCCTTACTATAAGGGAAGACAGGAAAGACACCAGGCTAGGGTTGAGTGAGATTATGACAAATTAGGGTGAGTTTTCAAAATTGATGTGAAATTGAGGTGACAATTTCAGGAAGGCAATCAGAAATACAGGCTGAAGCTAAACAGAAGCTTTGGGCATTAACTCTGTGAAGAGAGACATATGAGGTCTGTCCTGAAAGTATCCACCCATACAACATTAAAAATAGATAGTTATTAAAAAAGGTACAGGATACAAGAAACATTGTACATAGGACAATGATGCTTCAGTCCCCTTCAAAGTAGGCACCTTTGGACCTCACATAGTTCTTCCAGTCACCATCAGCTGCCCCGTTGTATTTTCCTGAATCTCATTGATGGTCTGAAATCTCTTCCCTTTCAAAGATGATTTTAATTTTGGGAAAAGCCAGAAGCCACAGAGTGCCAAATCTGGGCTGTAGGGTGGCTGAGTCACCTGGGTGATTTGATGTTTCATCAAAAAACTCTGCACAAGGCTTGATGCACAAACGGGTGCATTGTCATGATGAAGCTGCCAATCACCAGTTGCCCAGAGCTGCGGCCCTCTCAATCATCCCAGTAGTTTCCACGGAGGAATGCTCACGCCTAATGTAAAATTGGATGCAGATTCATTGCTCTACTCATTCAGTCATTTGAATGTGGTGGCCACACAGTACACATGCTCACTCAACAGTATCTACTGCCCCCACTGACCAGTACAGTGGAGTCGTCATTGTTCACACATGCGCATTCCAGCCCACTCTCCTTGGCTCCCAGGTTACATTAATGTTGTACAAACCATTCTCATTATATTAACAATGGCTGGACTTTTTCTGGAAAGACCTCATATATATATCATACATACGTATGAGATAGTTTATTATAGAAAATTTGAAGAAGCCACCCATAATTCTATCACATAAAAAAGACAGTTTTTGATGGAGAGTGACTTTAAAATATTTATATTTAAGATGAAATAAGGGATGGTCCTTATTACTGCCTACAATTATAGCACTTTTTAAACTGGCCTTCCAACATCGGATCTCTTTGCCTCATGCTTCCTTTATACCAGGACTCCACAAACTTTTGCAGTAAAGGACCAAACAGTACATATTGCAGGCTTTGCAGGCTGTGTGTGGTATCCATCCCATATTCTCTGTTTTTATATTTTATAATCACTTTAAAATGTAAAAACCATTCTTAGCTTGTACGCTGTATAGAAACAGGCCACGGGCCAGATCTGGCCCACTGACCAGAGTGTGTGAACACCTGCTTTATACCACTGCCCGGTTAACCTTCCTAAAGTGCATGTCTTGCATTAAAACTTCCCTGCCTGCTTTTTTGTAAATTGTTTTCAGTTACAATTGTCCCACCTTTTCCTCCATTGTTCTCCCCTGCCCCACCCCCCCAGTTCCCACAGCCAGTCCCCACCCCATTGTCCATGCCCATGGGTCCTTTATGCATGTTCCTTGACTTGTCCCTTCCCCTTCTTTCCCCCACTACCCCTCTCCCCCCACCCGTCTGGTTACTGTCAGTTTGTTTTTCATTTCCATGTCTGGCTCTGTTTTGCGCATTTATTTGTTTTGTTGATAAGGTTCCACTTATAGCTGAGATCACATGAGATATTTGTCTTTCATCACCTGGCTTATTTCACTTAGCATGATACTCTCCTGTTCTATCCATGCTGTCATGAAGGATAGGAGCTCCTTCTTTATTTCTGCTACGTAGTATTCCATTGTGTAAATGCACCACAGTTTTTTGACCCACTGATTTACTGATGGGCACTTAGGCTGTTTCCAGCGCTTGGCTACTGTAAATAACGCTGCTATGAACATTGGGGTGCACAGGTTCTTTTGAATTGGTGTTTCCTGATTCTTAGGGTATAATCCCAGGAGTGGAATCACTGGATCAAAAGGCAGTTCATTTTTAGTTTTTTGAGGAAAGTCCATACTGTTTTCCACAGTGGCTGTACCAGTCTGCGTTCCCACCAACAGTGCACTAGGGTTCCCTTCCCTCCACAACCTCACTAGCACTTGTTGTTTGTTGATTTGTTAATGATGGACATTCTGACCCATGTGAAGTGGTATCTCATTGTAGTTTTAATTTGCATCTCTCTGATGGCTGGTGATGTTGAACATCCTTTCATATAGCTGTGGGCCCTGTGTATGTCCTTGGAAAAGTGTCTGTTCAGGTCCTTTACCCATTTTTTAATGGGATTGTTTGTCTTCCTGGTGTGGAGTCGTGTGAGTTCTTTGTATATTTTGGAGATGAAACCCTACCCAAAGTGTCAGTGGGAAATACGATTTCCAGTACTGTTGGTTCCCTTTCCATTTTGTTGATGTTTTCTTTAGTTGTGCAGAAGCTTTTTAATTTGATATAGTCCCATTTGTTTACTCTTTCCTTTATATCCCTCGCCTTAGGGGATGCAATGATGAAACTATTGCTGCGTTTTTTTGTCATTTGTTTTAGCCTACCAAAGGAAATTCAAACTTTTTAGTCTGGCATCCGAAACCCCCACAAATTGGTCCTAACATACTCTCTGAGCACATCTCAACAATATGTTCTTATACACCTTCATGCTTTTGCACTGTTATGCTTTGCACTCTGTTTTCTCTATACCTATTAAAATCCTAGCCATTTTTCAGGACCAAGGAGAGCCTGCTCCTCCCCAGAAGTGGTTTTCCTCTTCTGGGGAATAGGCACTCTCCTCCTCAGCTTGTGTTTATTGCCTTCTGATGGATACTTATAACTTCCTCTTTAGTTCATAAGGCAGATGGTACTACCCAGAGTAAGAGACATTAATCTTTTTTTTCCAGTTTTTAAATATATATATTTTAAGTATATATATTGATCCCAGAGAGAGAGAGGAAAGGAGAGAAAGAGAAACATTAATCAGTTGTCTCTCGCATATGCCCCAGTCGGGGATTGAACCCGCAGTCTAGGTATGCGCCCTGACCGGGAACCCAGCTGGCGACCGTTTGGTCAGTGGGACGATGTTCCAACCACCTGAGCCACTGGCTGGGCAAGAGAGAGGCTATCTTCATTACACAGGACACTTGGCACAAAGCCAAATCCATCGCAGGTGCTCCATGAGTATTTGTGGAGTGGCTTGTGATGCGAAAATTAAGCACGAGAAAGAATAAGAAGAAAATATGAGAAAAATCTTGTTAATAAGTTTTCAATAATAACATGGTACTGGGAGCTAAAATCCAAAGACATTGTACAACAAGGCTCTGTTGCATTTTTATCACAATGGATTTACAACCTGTGGGCCTTTGATAGAGAATATAATTGGAATATTTCCATAGTGGTTTAATTAGTGTATGGTAGGTGATATTCAGTATACAAGAAAATCTCTGCTTTGCTTAAAGATATCCTTTTTTTTTTTTTAATAGTCCAAAGAAAAATTGATTAACAGCTTAAAGGAAGGATCTGGTTTTGAAGGCCTAGATAGCAATACTGCTAATAGCATGGAACTGGAGGAACTTCGGCATGAAAAAGAGATGCAGAGGGAAGAAATACAGAAGCTGATGGGTCAGATACATCAGCTGAGATCTGAATTACAGGTAAGATTCATTACAGTTCACTTCAGAGGCAACTATTTGCCCCCAGCTCTTTACAGTTTCAGAGGTGCTATATTCCATATTTTGGGGAAGGGGTATTAGTGAAATAATTGTAGAACTGCTGGTGTAATAGTCACCATATAGAAGTGAATTTAAAACACTAGGTTTCTGGTCCATTGATTGACTGCCTAGTTATGGGAATAATAAACATAAGTAACCAGATTCATGCATTCAACAAGTGCTTACCAAGTGCCTGCCATGTTCCAGGCTTGGAGTTACACCAAGGAACCAGACAGAATCTTCCTACTTCTGGATCTTACAATCTAGTGGTTCAGTACAAATTAAACTTGGGCTTGTCAGTACAACTGGGATGTTTTCTGGTTTTAGAATGGGCTCAGGAACAAGCCTTTCACATCCTTACCTGAGGACTTTTTTCTTACTGCTTTTAGAGAGAGAGAGAGAAAGGGATAGAGGGGGAGAGCGAAGCATCGATGTGAAAGAGAAGCGTCAGCGGGTTGCCTCCCATGTGGACTGGGGATTGTGCGCACCCAGACTGGTGATCAAACCCGCAACCTTTTCATTGCAAGAAGATCCTCCAGCCAGCTGAGCCACACAGGCCAGGGCAGGGGTGGCCCTTTTTCTTTTTCTTTTTTATTTTTTTTAAGATTTTATTTATTTATTTTTATAGAGGGAAAGGGAGAGAAAGAGAAGGAAAGAAACCTCAACATGTGAGAGAAACGTTTCTTGGTTGCCTCTCACACACCCCCTACCTGGGGACCCGGCCTGCAACCCAGGCATGTGCCCTGTCTGGCAACTGAACCAGTGACCATTCAGTTGGCAGGCCAGCACTCAATCCACTGAGCCACACCAGCCAGGGTGAGATGGTCTTTTAATTGCAGTTTCATGCATAATCATATAATTTATAGTTTATTTGTAATTACTATATTTAACCTAAGAGTAAATCGAACCATTAATTTAGATTAAACACAGTGTCTTTGACAGGAGATAAAGTGCAGGGTAACAAGCCTTCTTTTAAAATTTCACAGAGAATATTCATTCATGCATTAACTCAGAATTTTTGATTTGTAAAATGTACATAAACTACAAAGGAGAGCGTAGAAGTTGTGAGAATAGGCTTGTCTGTTACCATAGGCTTCAATGTCAGATCTGGATATAGATCCCATCTTTAGCACTTCTTAGTTGTGTTACCTTGTACAAGGCATTGTGTCTCACTGAGCCTTAGCTTTCTCACTTGTAAAATGCAAATAAACAAGGGTTCTTCTGAGGATAAGGGTATGTGTAAACAGGCCCTCAGTAAATAGTAGCCACTGTTGTTTGTGCCTTTTTTTCTTATTGGTCAAGTAGAAGAGCTGGTAAAGACTGGTGTCCTTGTAGTCTTTAAAGTAGGATTTTTTTTTTCTGTAAATAATTTTGAATTCCAAAGACTTTAGTTCCATGAACTTAGAAATTGGGTAGATGCTAATCTTATTCATACCCTGTCTTATTCATACACGTCTTTTGGGTGAAATTATGAAAAATGGTTTATTTAATATCTTATCCTTACCCAGCCTCATTGATGACAATGCCCTATTTTTCTACCCTTTCTTAAGTTTATTAAGTATATAATAAAGATTACAGTATTAGGTCTAGCAAAATGGGAGAATTGTTACTAATTATAATAGCTGTCGTTTACTGAGTACTTCTGTCCCCAGCACTGCACTAAGCTCTCAATATACATCCTTTCATTTATTTCTTACCATAACCCTGTAAGGGAGATGATATAGTCTCAATTTAGAGTTTCAAGAAATGTAAGTATGGAGAAGGAAAGTAACTTCCCATGACTAGTAATGTGGCAGAGTCAGGATGCAGTCCTTGTCTGTCTGATTCCAGAACATGTGTTCTTAACCACTGCGCAAAGTTCCTGCCTCTCAAGAATGCATCTGACTTAGTCAAATTAATGACAAAGATTAATCTACCTTCTGCTTACCTTGAAAACTCAGTGGTAGGGAAAACTCTACTTACTGCTGTTTTCCTCTACATCCCCAAAGCTGTGTGATTATCCAGGGGTATCATTAATCTGTCAGTTCCTTTCAAACAATATGTGAATGGAGGTGAGTGTAAAACAGAATGTACCAAAATATGAAAAACAAAGTAAGATGCTGATTTCAATCTCATATAGTACTGTATGAATGGACTTACACTTAACTTGAAATCTAGAAAATATAGAAACTCATCCCTGGCTGGTGTGGCCCAGTGGACTGAGTGCTGGCCTATGAACTGAAGGTCGCTGGTTTGATTCCTTGTTAGAGCACATGCCTGGGTTGCAGGCCAGGTCCCAGGTGGTGATTGATGTTTCTCTCCCTTTCTCCCTCCTTTCTCCTCTTTCTAAAAATAAATAAATAAATAACCTTTTTTTAAAGAAAGAAAGTATAGAAACATAGAGCTGTGTGTTTTACCATTGTAGCTTTCAAAGGAAGTGCAGAGGGTGGTGTTTAAGTCTGAAGAACTGAGAATAGTAACACCTATTCAAGAAGTTTGAAATAAGACATATAGGAAGATATAAAAATATAATAGTAATAAAGCTAAAAAAGTAAAATAATATGCTAATCTCAGGTGATATGAGAGAAAAGTTGTATTTTTACTGTTGGTTACTTATGCACACAAACATATAAGCTAAGTATAACCTGCAATTGCAGGAGACTAATGAAGTCCTTTTTGATGTTATATTTCTGTTCTTTTTGAAACTTAGCTTTTGAATACAGATATTAATCTCCCAGTGGGCTACTGTCTACTGGTACTTATTAAACCAAATGATTTATGTGCCACGGCAGCTATGGTGTCTTGTCCATTGCTCTCACCTTTGCCAGGTTATAGAATGAGGTGTCGTCGGCTTACATGCTCCCTTTAGGCTGAGATCGCGTCTCGTTCATCTTTGTCCCTGCAGTGCCTGCTGACCCCAGTTCATGGTGCATGGTGATTGCTCCGTGCATGTTGGACCGAACAATAATGATTGCTTTCACATGTAAGATTCTCCTTTCAGGATATGGAGGCTCAGCAGGTTAGTGAAGCTGAGTCAGCAAGAGAACAGTTGCAAGATCTGCAAGACCAAATAGCTGGACATAAAGCATCTAAACAAGAACTAGAGGCAGAATTGGACCGGCAGAAGCAGGTGAGGATTTTAGATTGATGGTTCTCGGAGAAGACTGTGTCTCATAGCTGGCACAGGAGGGGACTCCCCGGTAAAGCAGCTTACTGACATTCTCAGGGGATGGGCTCAGAGAATTAATGGTAGACAGGTGCAGGTTCCTCCTACCTCATTACTGTTCCTCACTCCTCATTTGTTTTAACAGCTGAAAAATATAGGGGCACAGAACAGTTAGGGATTTGCCTAATTTCATACAACTAATTATAAAATAGAACAGAACCCAGGATGCCTGTCCCAGAGTTTTTTCTACTCATCCGTCTGTATTTTATTATATCCCCTTGTCAAAGTACATGTGTATAGGAAAGTTAAAAACATCAGTTGATTTTCATATTTTATTACATTTGTACTTTCTGGGAACAAGAGTCAATACTAGTTAATAGAAATAAAAATACATCATCAGTGCCATATTAGACTTTTCTTTCTGTTTGAAAAAAAGTGCCTATACAGATTGTGTTTACAAATCCTGGTTAAGATTATACTTCACTGTTCAATTAGCAGTTGTTTGCTCCCCAAGCCGAATTCTTTTACTTTAATATACTTGTATAATAGTTTCACTGTTGGCACAGTTAAACATGTTTACAGCCACATTTTCAGAATAAGATTCTATACCTAATATTAATAACATCTATAATTTACTTGGTAACAATATTGTTATATAGGCATTTAATTTACATTATCTTACTTCATTCTCACAGTAAAATCACTATTCTGTTTATTTTGCAGAAAGGAAAACTCAGCTTTGTGTAATTTTGTCCTTTACAGACTTTTTTTTTCCCATTAGGATGGATTATTTCTGGAAGTGGTTTAATTCTCAGAAATATCCGTCAGCACGTACACCCGCTCCTTGCGTGTTAAGAGAGAGACTCACTGAGGAGCAACCTTCAGGGCGCATCATAGGCCGCCTTAATTTAATTGTGAAATTGGCTGTCCTTTCAGAAATTGCATTTTAATTCAGTCAAGGAGCTAATATACTAAACGGCAAAAAATTGATGTTCTTGATGGTTAGAGAGATAATTTTTATTTTATTACGGCAAATGGTTGTAATCACACTCACTCCCAGTGCCCTTTTTTAAAATGAGGGAGCTGAGTAGAGGCAAGTGGAGCACATGTAGCTATAGGCTATTTACTTAATAATCAGATGTTCTAGATGTAAAGTCCTTAATTTTAGGATTGAATGTCCTTTAGTGTCCTTTATCAATTTAGGTAATTTCAGCCTTAAATTTTTTGCTAGTCTAGAGCTTCAGAAATTAAGGAAACCTTCTGTAAATTGTTATTCTCCTACCCCAATTACCTTCCTCATTTTCTCTTTTTCAGTTATCTCAATTTTTACAGTCTGTGAAATACGCAGTTTGTGCTAATGTCTAAAGTAGTCTCTAGCAGTTTAATTCCATATCCCATTTATGTTTTCATACAGCTACCTTTACTTATTGGTCAGCACAATTAAGCATAATGGTTTTTTTAATTGACATACAATATCCTATTAGTTTTAGGTGTACATTATAGCAATTTGATATTTATATACATTACAAATGATCCTCGTGATAAGTCCAGTTACTGTCTGTCACCATACAAAGGTATTAACAATATTATTGACAACATTGTCTATGCTCCATAATGCTTTTGAAGGTACTTAGCTAATTAATTACTCTATCTTTCCTGGAATGTGCTTTGTTCTTAAGTTCTAACTTGACAGAATGATCATATCCATTGTACAGATAGCAATGCATTAGTGCAGTTGTCAGTGAATCTGGAGTTATTTCTTTGTCTTTCTTTCTCACTTTCTTTTATTAATGACAGTGCAAAAGAGGTACAAGATATTGCCTGATAGAAAAAAAGCACATGAAAAGCTGCTCAACATCCTTAATTATTAGGGAAATGCAAATTGAAACCTCAGTGAGATAACACTACATACCCAACTAGAGTAGCCACATTTAAAGAGACTGACAGCACCAAATGTTGGGAAGAATGTGGAAGAAATGGAACACTGTTACCTTGCTATGGGGATGCAAAGTGATACAAGTATTTTGAAAAAAATTCAGAAAACCATTTGTAAGTTGTCTTCCTTTAAGTTAGACATACACTTAGCATATGATCCAGTATCAGTTCTAGAAAAATGAAAACATACGACCACATAAAGACTTGTGCTTAGACTTTCATATACAAATTGATGCATCATGCTGAAGTAATTGATTTTTCAGCAGACCCATCCAGATCTGTTCATTTGGTACTTCAGTATATACTCAGCACGTATTGATTGCGTGTCTCATGTGTGTCAGGCACTGTTTTAGGTATTGGGGATGGACTAGGGAATGCTGTTTTAACTTGTTTTGTGCCTCCCTTTGTAGGAATTCCATTACATAGAAGAAGATCTGTATCGAACAAAGAACACATTGCAAACCAGAATTAAAGATCGAGAAGAAGAAATTCAAAAACTTAGGAATCAGGTATGCATTGGCATTTACAACTTGGGCAGAGATACCATAGTAAAGCTACCTTTTTTCCTAAAGAATACAAGACCTTCTTTTTCCCTATTTCCACCTGAGTTTTCTTGCTGCAGCAGTAAGATGTTCAGTTCAGCCTGACGCAGAATTTTCATCTAATGCCCTGGAGCCGGCACTTGCTGTTTCTGGGGCTGGCTTCTTCCAGAAGAGCCTGGTGGCCAGAGTCGCTCGAGGGGACCAGCACTTCCAGCCCCTGGTGTCACGGGGGTTGTGCTGATTGCCAGTTTCAGAAATGCGGATTCTCTTTCCTAAGGAAAGTCCAATGATAAATCTTCCTGTTAACAACTGATAGGTCTTTCACAAAGTCAGCGAGACCTCTTTTTAACTCTGAAAATGTAAACCACACAGAAAACAACACGTGCTGCCCCCCCAGACTTACCAGTCTTTGTCATTGACTGATAAAAATCACACGTTCACTTACCCTGTGGTAGTAGACTGTTCTTTCTCCCCTTCTCTTCAGATGATTGACTCGATAAATAATGTACTCGTTGATCGTTTAAATAATGTACCTGAAGATTGATTAGGTCTTCATTTTTTTAGTAAGCTGATGACTTAGTTTGAGCATGAATACTCTAATTTTATTTAAGTTCTCAGGCTTCGTAATGGTCCATAACTTAAAATGTTTTAATATATTTTAATTTTTAGAGTAAGAAACTAACTTCAGTGTTCCTTTCTCCTTTGCCCATATTTTTGAAATGCTTACACATGGTTACGTCACTTGCTAGCAGAAAGTCAAGGAAAAGAAAAGAGCATAAAAAACCAGTTTAATCCCTAGATAAATATTTCAGTATTTATTAAATATTTATTGGGTACCAACTCTGTGTAAGAAATTGTGCTATTTTTCTTAATTAAGAATTAACCAGGACCTTGACCGGGTAGCTCATGTGGTTAGAGCATAGTCCTGATACACCCAAGTTTGCAGGCTTGACCTCTGGTCAGGGCACACACATACAAGAAGCAGCCAGTGAATGCATGAATTAAGTAGAACAACAAATCGGTATTTCCTTCTCTCTCTCTCTCCCTCTCTCTCTCTCTCTCTCTCTCCCCCCCTCCCCTCCTCCTCCTCCTCCCCTCTTCCTTCTCTCCTTCCCCTCTCTCTAAAACCAAGCAATCAATAAATAAAAAATTTAAAGATTTTATTTCTTAGATAGAGGTGAAGGGAGGGAGAAAAAGAGGGAGGGAAACATCAACTAGTTGCCCCTTGCACGTCCCCAACTAGGGACCTGGTCCACAACCCAGGCATGTGCCCTGACTGGGAATCAAATTGGCGACATTTTGGTTTGAGGGCTGGTGCTGAACCCACTGAACCATACCAGGGTGATAAAATTTTTTAAAAAGAGAAAAAAAGATTTATCTATACAAGGATTTCTCTTAAAGATTTTTCGTCTAGGTTGAATAGAAAAAAAAACCTTTGTCTCATAGAAGGAAGTTGACCTGTACAATTTAAAAAGAGATCAGCATCTTGATACATTGCAAGAAAAAAATACCCTAAAATCAGAATGAGTTAAGATTATCATTTATACTGAGGGAGCAATAAAAAAAAAAATGCCACTTCTGCTTATCTTACTACCTTTGGCCTCCTAGGGGAAAAAAAATCTTTTTTTAAAAAAGATTTTCTTTTTAGAGAGAGGGGAGGGAGAAAGAGAGAGAGAAACATTGATGTGTGAAAGAAACATTGATCTCTTGCCTCTCGCACACACCCCAGCTAGGGATTGGGCCTGCAATCCAGGCACGTGCCCTGACTGGGAATTGAACCAGCGACCTTTTACTTTGCAAGATGACACTCAGCCAACTCAGCCACACTGGTTAGAGTTAGGAGAAGAATATCTTGATTAAGAAAAAAATTATGCTTCCAGTTTGACCCTTTTTTCATTCCTTAAAAACTATTACATAAGACTAGATAAAACATGGAAAAAATGAACCTTGATCTTTATTCCCTAATTAGACTTGTAAAGTTAACAAAAATTAATTTGGGATGGAGCTAGGCCTAAGTTCTAAAGCTTCCAGAAGAAAATATAGGAATCTTTTGCAATTTGGGAGAAGACAGATTTTTTTTGTTAAAGATGACACTAAAACATTAATCATAGAAGAAAAAAATGAGAAAATTAAACTTCATGAAAATTAAAATTTCTGCTCATCAAAAGACTCCATTACAAAAATGAAAAGAGCCCCAAACTGGGGGATGGTATTTATAGTACATGTATTAGAGAAAGGATTCACAACCAGGAAACAACTCCTCCTACTAATAAAAAAAATACACAACTAGTTGTTTTTTAATTTGCAAAATATGTGGATAGGCACTGCACAAAAGCATGTGGAGTAGCCAAATAAGCATAGGAATGAATCGGGTGCTTAGAACCATCAGCCATCAGGGAAATGCAAATTAAACCCTCAGTGAAAAATACCACCCCTGCACATCCCCTGTACTGGTTAGAATCAAGGAGGTTGGCAGTATGAACTGTAGTGCAGTTGGAACTCCCCTTCACAGTAGCACAGACACTTTGGAAAACTTGCTGGTAAGGCGAACATAGCCTGACTTCTAATTCCAGATGTTCAGTCAGTGTAAAGAAGGCCATAAGTCCACAAAAAGACTTGTACAAAGGATGAACATAATAGCTTTGTTCACAAATAGCCAAACCTGGAAACATGTGAAATGTGTTATCAACAAGTAGTTGGGTAAACAAATTGCAAACTACTCAGCAGTAAAAACAAACAAACTCCTAATAAAACAATATGGATAAGTCTTTTTTTAAAAAAAGCCACACACGAAGTGTTCATACTACAGATTTGCAATTATAAGAAATTCAAGAATAAGTAAAACAAAATTCTGGTGAAGAAATTAGAGCAGTAGTTGTCTGGGAGTGATGAAAATACTCTTTTGATCTGGGTGTTGGTTACACAGTACACATTTGTCAAAATTCATTGTGTGCTTAAGATACGAGTATTTCACTTGTATGGAAATTTTACCTCAACCAACAAAATACTGAAGTATTGCCCTGGCTGGTGTGGCTCAGTTGGTCGGGAGGCAACTAACTAATTGATGCTTCTGTCTAGCATCAATATTTCTCTCTCCCCCTGTCTCTCTTAAAAGCATTGAAAAACTGTCCTCAGCTGAGGATTTAAAAAACAAAAGCAAAAACAAAAAACAAGTATTGAGTTAGCTGATTATGGGATAACAGTATAATCTTAAAATTGAGCATTCCTATGAAATAGTAAGTAAATCTTAGTTTACAGTCAGGACAGTTCCATGCAGTACTCATTTGTTGTGGGCCCAGCCCTGCATTTCATTTGTGGGCATGCTGGAAGGAATTCAGAGGGAAGGAAGCTAATTTAACTCCCTATTATATGGCAGATACTTTGTTAAATATTTTATATATTATTTCATTTAGTTATCACATCCTTTGAACAGGGAAGCTGAGGCTCCGATTTGTAGTTTGCCCCGGGTTGTGGCTAGGAAATGGCAGAGCTTGGGTTTTAAGCATAGATCCACCTAGTAGCTTCTTTTCAAAACTATTGATGCAGAGCGACATTTGCCCTCACAGAGTTTACAGTTTCATTGGGGGGGCAAAATTGACTCCTTAAAACAATGTTACCAGAGTGACTGATAAATAGCAAGAGGATCAGTGGGAGTCTAAGAGGAGGCTGAGGTCAGTGTGGGCTAGAGTAGTTGGAAAGGGCTTCAAAGAAGAGGCTTTCAAGGCAGGTAGAGCCTAGAGAAGGGAAGGGACTGAATTTTCCAAACTGAAAATGTGGACAGCGATGCAGAGGCTGAAGGGGGCAGAGGGAGGCAGATTTGCACCAATAGGAGACGGAATGAAGGAAGTCATTAAGAGCCAACTGTCAGCCAGGCCCTGCTAGGACAGCTCGCACTTACTCCTGTTTCCCTCGGTACCACAGGCAACAGGCACTGTCGCATGTGAGGACACGGCTTCAGAGAGGAGTAGCAGTTCGCCCCAAGTCAGCTAGCTAGGAAATTGCAGGGCAGGGATAAAAACCTCAGGTAGTGTGTGGTCTTTGCACAGTTGAGTTATCCAGGTCAAAAACTTTGGACTGCGTCCCATGGATCAGTGCTTTCAGATGTTTTTGACCAGTGTTACAGTAAGAAGCAAGGTTTATATCATGTCTCAGGACTCATACACTCATACAACATGCAAAGTTAAAACAGATGTTTCACAAAATAACGCTCTGTGCACTCCGGTATGACCCATTCTATTCTTATCTTTTTAAAATGCAGATTGTGAATCACCAAATTAATTTTGTCGCTCACTAATTTAGTTTGAAAATCACTTCTGTCGACAATGAAAGAATCATTCTCGAATTTTGAGAAATTAGTGAATACACAGTTTACTTGTGGGGATGTAGTAATGTGGTTTCTGTGTTGTATGACTGGTTTTATGTAATAACTTTATGAACACATTGCCTTTCAGCTCACCAATAAAACCCTAAGCAATAGCAGTCAGTCTGAGCTAGAAAGTCGACTCCATCAGCTGACAGAGACTCTGATCCAGAAGCAGACCATGCTGGAGAGTCTCAGCACGGAAAAGAACTCTCTGGTCTTCCAGCTGGAGCGCCTTGAGCAGCAGATGAAGTCCGCCACTGGCGGGGGCAGTAACGGGCCTTCCATTAATATGTCTGGAGTTGACACTGGCGAAGGTAAAAAAAAAAAAAAGAAAGAAAGAAAGAAAGCTCAGAAAAACATTTTGTTGCCTTAATTTCTTTTTTTAATTATAGTTTGTTATGCTATTACAGTTGTCCTGATTTTTCCCTCTTTGCCCCCCTCCACCCAGCAGGCGCCCCCCCCCCCAACTGTTCGTGTCCACGGGTCATGTGTATAAGTTCTTGGGCTGCTCCGTTTCCTACACCGCACTTTACATCCCCCTGGCTACTTGTAACTACCTATTTGTACTTCTTAATCCCCGCACCTCCTCACTCACTCTCCCTCTCCCCGCTCCCATGTGGCAACCATCTGGTAACTACTTTTCTCTTGCTGCTTTTAAGAGTCTCTCTTTATCTTTAACGTTTGGCCTTTTAATTATGATGTGTCTTGGGGTGGGCCTCTTTGCATCCATCTTGTTCGGGACTCTGTGCTTCCTGGACTTGCATGTCTATTTCCTTCACTAAATTAGAGAAGTTTTCTTTTCACTATTTTTTCAGATAGATTTCTAATTTCTTGCTCTTTCTCTTCTCGTCCTGGTATCCCTATGATACGAATGTTGGACCTCTTGAAGTTGTACCAAAGGCTTCTTATTACAATCCTTATTTTTTTGGATTCTTTTTTTTTCTTGTTTTTGCGTCCTTATATTGGAAATCATTTATTTGATTCTCGGCTTCATCGACTCTACTGTTGTTTCCCTGTAAATTGTTCTTTATTTCGATTAGTGTATCCTTGTTTCTGACTGGATCTTTTTTATGCTGTTGAGGTCCTCACTAAGCCCCTTGAGCATCCTTGTAACCAGTATATTGAACTCTGCATTTGATAGATTGCTTATTTCCATTATGTTTAGTTCTTTTTCTGGAGTTTTTATCTGTTGTTTCATTTGGGCCGTGTTTCTTTGCCTTCTCATTTTGGCAGCCTCCCTGTGTTTGTTTCTATGTATTAGGTAGAGCTGCAGTGACTCCTTGTCTTGGTAGTGTGGCCTAATGTAGTAGGTGTCCTATAGGGTCCAGTGGTACAGCCTCCTCTATCCCCCAAGCTACTCTGAGTACCCAAGCTGGATACTCGAGGTGTGTCCTTTGTATGGGCTGAGTATACCCGCTTCTTGTAGTTGAAGTTTGGTTGCTGTTGGCAGATCAATGGGAGGGATTTACCCAGGTCAGCCAGCTGCAAGGACTGGCTGTGACCACTGACCACCAACCTCTGCCCTCTGTGGAGGATCAGCTGTGCGAGAGCAGGGTGTCGGTGTGCCGACATGGTCTGTAGCTGTCTGCTGGGTGTGCTGTCCCTGGGGCTTCCCTGGTGGTGAAGGCCAAGGTCAGCCCCCACCTTTGTTTTGCCCGGGGCGCGCTGCCGGAGCTATAAAGCAGTCTGAGATGGCTGCTACTTGTGCTGGGCCTGGAGATTCCCAGGTGAAGCCAAGCTGTGAATCTAATCTGGCTGCTGCTAGGGCTCACTGAAGCCAGCTGTTGCTTTTTTGGTAGGATTTAAGAGCCAAGACCAGCATTCTTATGGAAAAGCAGCTTGGGTGGGCATGTAAGTTGGGTAGGATAGAGTCTCTAGGGATCTCCAAGGCAGGTCAAACAGCGTTAGCCAGGTAGTTGGAGTCTCAGATATGGCACCAGCCTACCGGCTCTGTGGGAGGAAGGTTTAGTAAGAGGACAATGGCCTATGAGCACCTTGATGCCAGACACTTACAGTTTCTCCCTGTGTACCACTGGTGCCTTTCAAGCTACTTCCCCTGTGCTGGGGCTCAGAGGGAGTGAGTCTGAGTGAGTCAGTCCATGTGTGGGTTCTTTAAGGGGAAATGCTTGGGGCTCCAGAACTTTCTTCCACCAACTCAACCTCCACTAGTTTTTGCCGCCAGAAGTTGTGGGAACATACCTTCCTGCATTGGAGCTCTGGGCTGGGGTGCCTGGCGTGGGTCTAGGACTCCTAGCTCCTGAGATATTTCTCCCGAATTTTTATCTACCATGCATGGGTGTGGGACCAGTCTGTTCCACTTTTGCATCCCTCCTGCCAGTCTGGATGGATGTGGTTTCTGTAATTCCATAGTTGCCAGACTTCCATTCAACTCAATTTTGTAGTTGTCAGACTTCCATTCAGCTCTATTTCTGATGGTTTTGAGTGATGGTTCTCTATTTTAGTTGTGATTTTGATGTGGTTGTGCAAAGAGGTAAGCCCTGTCTGCCTACGCTGCCATTTTTGCCTTAATTTCTTATCTTTCTAATTCAACATGATGTTGAGAAGTGAAAGAAAGACCATTTTTATTGGAAAAGAAGTTTCATCCAGTGAAGCATCCACTTTCCTCCGGATGTGAGGACTGGGCCATGTGCTGTTTGGTATGACCAGTAGTGAATTGGACTGGAACGATTGCCATCCCTACTAGTGTGGGACTCAGAGAAAGGGCCCAAGGACCAATAGTCACATTGATACATGTAGGACACTCGGTAAGATGTTGCTGACAAGGCCAGTGATTCGGTAGAGCAGGACTTTCATGAGTCTTTCATGGCTGTAATAGTCTTCCAATCCATCGTTATGAATATTAAAACTAATATACAGTCACATCAGTATATCCATGCTCTATAATTTTAATGAAGAAATCTGTATTCCCAAGATACATATTCAAAAAGAATGTTAAAAATTTTAGTATAAGTTTCAACAGATTTAATCTTAGAAAGTCCTTTTAGGGGTTTTTTCCTATATATGTTTATAGTATCTGTTTTATTGATTTTAACTTTTTTCATAGAAATAAGTTTTTATATTTTATACAATAATTTATATATTGCTTCATAAGAATCTATTGTGGAATTTCCATAATTTGTGTAATGAAGTCCTTATGGTTGGGAATTTAGATTGTTGCCAATTTTGTCAGTAATATAAGCAGTTCCGAGAAAAATATTTTCTGTGCATGTCTTTTATCTTCTTAGGATAAATGATTAGAAATGGAATTGCTGGGTCAATAGGTATCCATTTGAAGACTCTTGATTCTTGTTGCCTGAATCAGCAAATAATTATTCAGTGCCTAGTTAGTACCAGGTACTGCGTTAGGCATAAAGATACAGTGGTCAGCAAAAGAGACCAAAGCCTGTGCCCCGTGGGCATCCTAGACCCTGGTGTCATCAGGGAGGAGACAGGCTGTGAAGGGAGCGTGTGAGGCAGCGCAGTGGCGGCGAGGGGTGGAGACGGGACTGTAACTGAGGGCGGTCAGGGAGGGCTTCATTGTAAAGGTAGCCCTTTATTATTGAGCCCCACAGGAGGGAAGGTAGGAGGCAGCGAGGACAGCAAAAGGAAGGTGTGTGGTGGAGAAGGAGCAGGGGCAGAGGCCCGGGGGTGGGGGCAGGTGCCGGCGAGTGGCCACACGAGTCGGGGGGGCCGGTGCCGCTGGCCTGAGCTGAGCGAGGGGAGGACAGTGTCAAGCGGATTCGGGGAGCCTGGAGGGGGCTGTCGAGGCTGTGTAAGCGCCTTCCTCCTGAATTAAGGGGGGAGCCAGTGGACGGTCTTGGATGGTGGCTGATGTGACCCGCATTTTAACAAGATACCTCTGGCCGCTGTGTCCAGGATGGACTGCAGAAAGCTCAGAGTGGCAACAGGGGGCCGGGGAGGAGCCGCTGTGTTAATCCCTGTGAGGGATGGTGGCGGTTCAGACCAGAGTGGGGGATGTGAGGATTTATTTAAAGGTGAGCCGACCCGTTTGCTGGCAAATTAGGGAGTTTAATGGAAAGAAAGGGGTCGGGGTTTTGGGCCTGAGCAGATGGAAGGATGAAGTGGTCATGTTCTGAGATGGGCAAAACTACAGGATGAGCAGGTCGGCAGCAGGGGCAGAGGTCAGGAGCGTGGCCTTGGGCATGCTGAGTTTGAGGTGCCTGTTAGACGTCCCCAGAGAGGGGAACAGGCGATGGGTGTCTGGCACTGGCAGTGGCTGGGCCGGGGACCCCAGCGGAGTCCTCGGCTTTGTAGAACGGGTGGCAGTCGCCCTCTTACTTAAGAGTGCAGGAGGTAGGTGTCCGTTAATACTGACTGCTGGCCACCTTTGGTATTTACAGACTTTTAATTTTTGCTAATTTCATAGAGAAATAATTTTCCTAGTTTTTAACTTTTGAGATATGGAAGTTTAAACATTTTATAATCAAATTTATGTTATTTCTTTCTGATTTTATCTTTGGGTGTAATACTTAGAAAATTGGCCTTGAAAAATTCTCCCATATGTAATATAATGTATATTCAACTGTAATTTTGTTGGAAAGTTCATTTTGGTGTCTATACATCAATTCATTATTTTCTTCTTTAACAGGCACACGTCTGCGAAACGTTCCAGTTCTTTTTAATGACACAGAAACTAACCTGGCAGGGATGTATGGAAAAGTCCGCAAAGCTGCTAGTTCCATTGACCAGTTCAGGTAAGCCATGCCGGTGACGGCGAGGGACGGGCTGGCAGCTGTTTCATAACGTTTTCCAGTGGTTTCAGTCATTGTAAGTCCCATCAGGCAGAGCTGATATTTAAAGTGGCATTTACCTTATTCCTTTCATGATGTTTTATTGAAGGTGATTAATGCTGACCATTTCTCTTCTTTCTGTAATAAATTCTATTTAAAAACTTGTTACCTTTCATTGAGAAAGTCTCTCTCATGTATATGCATCAATTTGTTTTATCTCATTACTTTGTCATATGATCGGAATCAAAGATGTTACTAATGAACAGTACTTACTATGTTTATATATTACATAAATAATACATAATTTACGTTATATGTTTATAAATAAACTTTTTCAATTAGCAGACATCCATCTTATATAGGAAACGTTTTAAAGTTCGATCAGGAGTGGGGAGCAGGCCCCAGAGAGCCCTGAGCAGCCGACGCCCCCGTCACCGTCACAGCCCAGAGAAGCCACCGCAGCCGCCCGCCTCAGCGCTGCGGACACCGAGCCCGGCACCACAGGCAGCGGCGCGGGGAGTGGCCTTCCATCAGTGGCACCAGCCTGCAGAGAAAAGAAGGTCATTACAAGGAAGGTTTTGGGAACATTAAATGATTCAATGTAAGAAACAGATGCGGTCTCATCCGTAGGCATGACACCAAGGAAGACGTAGTCGCCCAGCAGACCGCCGGAAGTGGAACAGCCCCAGGAGGGGCCTCCGCAGTGGAGACGGAGACTGTGGGGTTGGGTGTTGCTGAAGGAGAAAGGGTGCGGAGGCAGCAAGTGTTACAGGCCCTGGTGGAGGTGCGGTGCATGGCAGCGAAGATGCAGCAGGCCGTACGCACTGTAGACGCTATCCGCGCCGCAGGCGTCCTTCATGCAGTTACCAGCAGAATTACCAGGATCGTGAGACTGGGGAAAAGAATGAGGGATCAGAGGGCACCCGAAGGCCAGGGCCGACAGTGCCAGCCCGACCTTACTGCGTGCGGAGCTCCACCGGCGCCGGCCATAGTGTCCCGCCCCTCCTGGGCGGGGCGGGGGGAGGGTTGGGGGTGCGGACAGCCAGGGCACGGGAGAACAGGTGGGCCAGTGAGACAGACTGTATCGGGGCCACAGACTGCGACTCTGCAGGGGCCCTCCTCGCCAAAGACAGCCTAGAGAGGACAGCAATGAAGGAAACAAGGAGACTCAGGAGATGAGATCCAAGGTCAGCCGTCCCCTCAGTGTCGGTCCCACCGCAGCTTCGGTTACTGACATGTGCCCAGAAAACCCTAAACCACAAGATGGCAAAGACACAAAAGCAGCCGATTTACCAGCTAATTCGTCTGCTCCTGAGGCTGAGCAGGGCGGGGCTGAGTAAACGCCGGCTTAGAATCTCTACCATCATCTGGCTTAGTCATCCAACAAAAAAATGAAAAATTCCAGCAATAAGACATGAACAAAAGATTGGAGCCGAAGACCTTAAGTGCTTGCTTTTTGCCCATTGACCAGATGACTAGACCTGTCTGCATTACCTATGAAGCATGGGGTTTTTATTATTTTTACCGAAAGATATCTCGTTTTGGTAATGACAGACGTGGGGTTTTTTGTTTTGTTTTGTTTTATTTTTAAAAGAAGCCTGGTGTTTCTTAATACATCTTGAAAGGTTTTTGAGTTGTTTTATATCTGGTCAAGTTGAGATTTTTAAGAACTTCATTTTTAATCTGTAATAAAAGTTTACAACTCAATTAAAAAAAAAAAAGTCAACAAACAGCAAGCACCTGTTCATGAAAGTCTTAAATAAGGAAGGAAGGGAAGGAGGGGCTGCTTTAAGTCACCCTCGGCCACATAGCCACGGCTGCCCTTGGCAGCCTCACCCCCGCTGGCAGGAGCTGGCGCTATGCCGAGCAGTCGCCTCCCTCAACTGAATGCCGGACATGGAGGTCGACCAGGGACCAGGAAGAAGTTTGATAGCTGTTGGGCTGGGTGTTGCAGCTTTTGCGTGTGCAGGTCCCTACGTATATCAGATCTGGAAACCTCGACCTGGGGTGTCCATCCAACCTTGTGGCGTCTCTGGGCCACACTGGAAGAAGAATTGTTGTCTTGGGCCACACATTAAATACACAAACAATACCAAAAATGGATGAGCAAAAAAAAGGTTTTGAGTAAGTTTGATTTTGTGTTGGGCCACATGCAGCCTATGGGCTACGGGTTGGACACCGCTTCCCAGGCCAAGTAATTACAGAAGAAGAATTCAGCTCTTGGCCTCGCATGCTGCGGTGAAGGAGGATTTGAATAACAAACAAGTAGGGAAGAAGCTAGTCTTATTTTAGGTGTAAGTCATCTGCTGGCAAGGCCAAGATTAGAACACCACAAGAAAATCATGATTTTGAATCACCCAGATAAAGGTGGGTCTCCATACTTAGCGACCAACATAAATGGAGAAAAAGCCTTGCTCGAAGAAACCACCAAACGCTGATTGATGCTCAGGGATGACTCTCAAGGGAAAGGGGGGACCTAAAAAACAAAAGTCCTTCCTATGAATTTAACCTAAACCACCACTGTCATATCTTTTATACATGTGCTAACTGTAAATAATAGTTTATTTCACTGTTCAGTGGTATAACAGGTTAATCTATTATCTTTTAAAGGAAAAATGTTTTCATAGTTTATATATAGCCTTGATAAAGTTCTTGTCTAAATATCCTACTAAACTTTTTGGTCTTTTAGTGTTTATAATTAAACACAGTTTCAGTGAATTATTGCATGAAAGAGCAATCTTTTCTTACCTTTATCAGAATATAGCTGTGGTGTTACAAATAAGGAGGAGGATTTATTAAGGAAGATTCCTGAAGCCATGGACCGAGGGCAACATATCATTATCTCCAAATTAATATGTACATCTATTTTAACTATTCATTTATTCAACCTACATAATAATTTTTAGAGAACGTATCGCAAGGCATTGTGCTAGTGGCAGTGAAAGCAGCAGAAAGGTGTATTTGCTTGTACCTGCAGCCGTCTTGCTGGGGGAAAAGTGTCGAAGAGGCAGGAGCCATAAGGTCCTCACATCATCTATTGTTCCTCACACTTTAAGTGTTTACTTGAGTTTCTATAGTTTTGTGCCTTTTAGAAGCATGGGTCATGCAAAAGCTTTTCAGATTAGCAATTTGCAGATTAATTCCAGCCAGGCTTTTCCCTGTTTGTGTTTTCACACTTGCCTTATGTTTTATAACTACTTTAGTTCCTAAAACAAAAATGATTTAGAGAGGGACCACATTATTTAACCCCAAATAATGACAATTTATTTACACTATGACGTTTCTATATGATTATTTCAAGTAATTATTCAACAGTCTGTAAATAAATCTTCTGTATGGTGGCCACAGAACTAGTATAAATGAGTGAAATGTTAAAAAGCATTATTATATTTTATCACAGGTAGATCTGTTATTAGTCTAATTCTCTTCTCTTCTCTCCACCCTCACCACCATTTGCAGTATCCGTCTAGGAATTTTTCTCCGAAGATACCCCATAGCACGAGTTTTTGTAATTATATATATGGTAAGTGAACTTGTTTAATAAACAATGCTGCATTTGATTTTTCAGTAGTTTTTTTCACCTACTGGTCTTTTTGACTAAGAATTTAGCAATCAATTTTGGTAATTAAGATTTTTTTTTCCTTAAAATATACAAGTGTGAAGTGGACCGTTTATTATGTTTAATATATGGATCGCTCAAAGACTTTGCCTACAACAGAATTAATTTTAGTGCAGTTTAAGTTACCTCCCTTTCAAAGCCCCTCTTAGGATAAAAATACAATACAAAACAATCGGTTTCATTTTTATCTTCATGGAAAGTTGCTTTCATGTGTTTTGCATTGTTTTCTAAAAAGGTCTCAAGGTTGATTTACTCTCTTTCAGATTTCTTAGCTATAGTAAAATGGTCACCATAGTTAGGAATGGCATTACCTGTGGCCTGTGAGCCTGAAACCCTCATTGTTCTGAATGGGGACGCTTAAAACTAGCTGAGTTGACTTAAGACAGGCATATTTTTCTTCAAAAGAAATAAAAGCATACTTAGAAAGAAATTTCTCTGCGATCCACTAGAGGGTAGAGTTAGTCCTTTAAATAAAAAGTTTTTAAGGAGCGGGGGATGGAGAGAATGAAAGGAAAAAGATCCAGCGGCCTCAGAAAGGACGCAGGATATGCCCACGTCCGGGTTGCTTCCCGCGTGTGGGAGACTCGGGAACACGAGCACCGTCCGTCGGCACGGGGAGGGCCGCTGCTCGTCGCTGAAGGAAAGGCACTGCGTGAGGGCACCTCCGTCGGCGTCACCGCCTCGCCGCCAGCTGGCAATTCCTGGAACTGTCACTGCAGGTCCCGTTCTGGACCCCACATCACCTCTGAAACCGGACACAGTGTTCCTGTCAAGCGTGCCATCCCCTCTTCACCAAAGCATGGCCAAACCTTCTTTCAAAACACCAGCCATACTGTCCTCGAGAAGCCTTTCCACCCACTCCATGGGTATCGGGCAGTTTTAACCTTGCCACCTACTCTGCATTGCAACCGCCCAGTCAGTTGTGGGTGCATGTGCTTCCTATGAGCAGGCTGAGGGCCGTTCTCTTCTTGACTGGGGAATGCGCAGGCATTGTAACTAGCACCCTCCGCAGACCGCACATTGTTTCTGCATTAGCTGCCCAGTGCACACGCACTGAGCCCCAGAACGTTGCAGGCACTGGGTAGCCACAAGGGAACAAAGGCAAGTAAGACGAGGCTCCCGGCCCCCGTGCACCCCAGAGGAGGCCTGTGGTGAGGCTTGAATTACTGACTAATCCACAAATTGTGTTTTCTTTCTCTAGGCTTTGCTTCACCTCTGGGTCATGATTGTTTTGTTGACTTACACACCAGAAATGCACCATGACCAGCCACATGGCAAATGAATGGAATCCGGTGGTTTCAGTGATGGGTCGTCATTTTCCAGACTTGGGATCTGCAAAAAGGTCAATGGCTAAAATTCCTGAGGAGAGTGCACAAGATTATTTTATCACTACAAGCTTTTAACTTTTTAAGTTATTATACAAGTACTCTGCTACTTAAGTCAAATCTGCCTCTAATTTCCTTCAAATGGTAAGAATTTCTAAAAGACAGTTGGACGAGCTCAGCTCCGCTTTTCCTGGGGTCGGTCGTTCAGTGTGTGTGTGTGTCGGTCGACACACACATGCTGGGCTGTTCACCTCTGTGCAGGCCAGCCTGTATTTTAGGTGACACTTGTTATGGGCTAAAATCAGGGAAATTAATTGTATTTAGTAATATAAATAAAATGTTTGCTTTTTGATAATTCAGTCTGCTTTTGTATTTTCCTATGTTTAACTTTGCAAAGAGAGATTTATGTATTTACATGTTAAAGGTCTGATTGGTATAAATCTTTTTATAAACATAAATAAAATGTACTGTGCATTTCTCTTTTTTAAAATGATAGTTTTTCAGCCCCATTAAATAAGACCCGGATATCTCGCCGGATGACAGAGGCAGAGAGCAGCTGCTGACGTCACTTGTAGTTGGTTCTGGGGGGGCTGCCCCGGCCCCAGTGTGTGCACTGTCCCCTCCTCCCCTTTCCCCCTGCGCTGTCTCCCTCCGCGCCTCACTCGCGCATCAGTCGCTGTCTTTCTCTGCCTTTTTTCCTTTTCTTCAGCCTAGACCTCCAGTCTATAGCTCAGACATCCATAGCCCACGCTTGTCGCATTTGGGAATCAGATCTGTTCTAGCAACCTTTGCATTTTTAAAACACTCCAGCGTGGAGTTATTCTTTGATGAGAGACATTTTCTTTGCTTTAAGTCCAATACACTGTCTGTTTGGGCTTTCCTTTTTTCCTACACATCTGAATTATTCTGTCCCCTGGGTTCTGGTGGTCTCTCTTCATATGTAATTAATATACAGTGTGGGGCAAAAGTAGGTTTACAGTTCATCTGGAAAATAATACAATAATTAATAAATAATACAGGAATATGCTCTGCATTCTGCCTGCTCACAACCGTACACCCACTCTTGCCCACCTGAGCGTAGCTCTCGGGCCGTACGAGGGCAGAGCCCTTCCTGTCGGGGCACCTCCGAAGCCGTCTGCCGGCGCCCGGCCCAAAACCTGGCCCGTTTCCCTTCTCAGTGCCGTCTCCACTCCGACGTCACTTGACCTGTGACTTTAATTATACATTGTTCAGAGGTTTTGGTACACTAGTAGATGTACACGTTTCTTTTCATAAGAAAATTGAGTTTTAAAATTCATCCTAGGTATATTTGGTCTTTTTTTCAACCTAGCATTAAAGAAAAAGGCAGAAAATACCACATCATCTGCAGGTGGATATGAGGTGGTGTGGATAGGCATAGACGCGTTAGAGATCTGTAGGATTTACAATCACAATTCTTACTCAGGTGTGCTAACCTATCAGAGTCAGAGTTGCGAGGTCAGCGCTGATCTCAAACAGAATGAAGAGTTTAGTCTTGTTAATATCTTTTAAAGTTCTTTTCCCCCTCTCTTTTAATTTGGAAACATTTCTGGAAAATGATTAAAACCAGGTTACATACTTAAAATGGAAAACAACACGTGCTTCATCATCATGTGTTCCAGACTTCCTGTCTCTGCGTGTCCTGGCTTTTGTTGGGATGGCTCTAAATCTTTTGTTCAGCTTTTACACATTCTTGGCTCTGGAAATAGTTTGACAAAGTGTTTCCGAGATTATTTTTCAGCAGTTACTGAGATCTTTTTCAGTTTCAATATCCGGGACCCCACTAACACACACTTTGGGGGATTTTAAAGGGTGCTCCCATTCGCTTCTCCTCAGGTAACATGGAGCCTTCTTAACCTCATTAAAAGGATTGCGTGAGAGCCAAATATTTTTTCTTCTTAATCTAATGTATTCACTTAAAGACATTTTATATGTGTATACACACACACACACACATTATTGTACCGTTCTGCACGTGTCCATTTAAAAGTAAGACGAATATAAGAAAACTTTCTCTAGACTTTGTGCCTACCGTAAATGACCATTTCTATTGGTACAGACCAGAAAGGAAGAGCAGGGACTCTGTTACACAGAGTGTGGACCGAGGCGCAGCCTGTAGGTGCTGTTGATGAGGGAGGAGAATGCCTATCTGGGCCTTGGCCTGGGTTTCAGAAGCTTCCATCCAACTCACCCTGTAGGGGCAAAAACAACTCAGATGAGCCTCACTGGGCTGCAGCTGCCATGTGCCCCAGGAGGCCGGCTGTCTTGGAAAAGGCCAGTATGGGTCTCTTGGTCTGGATGGAGCAGAAGGAAAGAACGGGAAAAGCCAAAGAGAGTCCTCAGGGACTAATGGTCTAGGGCATGTGAGGCTGTGATTGTCCAAAACAGAAATGACAGACAAAATGTCTTAGTGATTATCCTGAACATGTTGAAACCAGTATTCCTGTTAAGTTTCCCACGTGAGAACATGGATGAAATGATTCCGAACTTCCCCAGACACTCAAATACCTCGAGATAAGTGAAACTTTCTTTTGTAAGAACACTTGAGTGTCCAGTGTGTCACGTACAGAAGCCTTATAGGAGATGTCTCGGGGGGGAAAAAAAGTGGTGAAATAATTTCAAGTCTTAGCAAGACTACAGAGCTATTCAGGTTGGGAGAACCGGGTGCTGGCCCCTCCCAGGGCCTGGGAGTAGCGGGGTGAATGGCAGAGTCCCTGCCCTCGTGGACCTCGCATTCAAGTGGGGGAGGCAGACCAGAAACGTGCCCTTCGTGTCCCTGCGATGGACAAAAATCAAATGAGGGGAAGGTGTAGAGGCGATGGGGAGGCGAGCGGGGAAGTCCTCTCTGCAGAGTGACAACTGTGCAGGGCCTGAATGAACTGATGGGCCACACAGGATACGGACGGGCGGGCTTTCTAGGCTGCAGGTGAAATAAACGCAGAGCCTCTGAAGGGGCAGCGTGCTGGGAACGACCGCCAGGAGGACAGCGTGGCTGGAACAGAGAGGGCGGGGCGGGGGCGGCAGTCGGGTGGCGAGGCCTGCGGGCCGACCCGGTAGGGACCTGGCCGCCCACTGGGAGTTTGAATCTGAAACCCCCTTTTGTTTCTCCTCAGTAACACTCTCTGCCCCTGAACCACCCACTACCTGCTTTAAATAGGGAAAACCTTTAAAAACCTGTTTCAGAATTAATCTAGAGACTGCAGTTGTCCCACATGCAAATGCTAAATAGTGCATCATACGTTTTGCTGAGGTGAGGACAGGCTGAACCCGAGAAGGTGCTTTTCCTATGCAATCACAGAGAATACCAAATGAGTGAAAGTGTGCATTCCCCCATGACCTCGCGGTCCTCACGCTCACAGGTAACACTCTTTGGTGAAGTCAAGGACAAACAGAGAATGAAATCCCAGAGTAGACCCCTTCATGTGGGAAGGCAAACGCCACCCCCCCGCCAACCCTTTGACTAACCAGCCTTAGCCCTGTTGGGTGTCCCCACCCACCTGCTATCAAAGCTCATAAACTCCGACATCTTTGGACGTTTCTGATCTCCAGAGGACAAAGACAGTGCTCTTTAGCAAAGACACTGTTACATCGTCAGGGCCTAGACCAGCATCTGGCGCGTCAGCGGCCTTCAGGTGACGCTCATTGAACTTCGTGGGCCGAGTGGGACAAAGCGCTAAGCTCACGCACGGATCCTCTGGAGCACTCCCGCCCCTCACTCGGAGTGGAGCGCCTCTGGTCCTAAAACCAGAGCAAAGAAGAGAAGCTTGAACTGGCCAAGGACACTGGCAGTTCCTACTGAGACTGGGCAGCTTGCCAGGATCTCCCGGAAGAGGAAAGAAGAGCCACAGAATGTAAAATACAAAAGCAGAAGGTGACCCGATGTTGCTGGTCCTCAATGTTCGTAGTGTAGAGACCTTGAATCACCAGGGGAAGCTCAGTCATGCTAAATGGATGCTCCCAAAAGACAGGTAAGGCTGCCTTACAGTGGAGAAGATTCTGAAAGCAGCAGGATATTTAGATTCCATTTTTGAACATTCTACAAAGCAAGACCTAGATAGAATTAGCTTCCTTTAGCCCCTGAAGGCTTCTTGCCTTGCGGTACCAGTTAAACTGAGTTTACATAAAGTAGTAAGTTTTCTGCATGTAAACTTAAACTTATCAACTACTAGCAATTTGCTTTACCTCGCATATACGGCTTAAGTCGATTGAATTCAAGAATTAATTAAAATGGGATCGTGGCAACAAAATGCTTTCTCAGCAGGGGCCCACCTCACCATCCATGGGTGAAAACTGGATCTTAGGAAGAGGCAAATATCTTACGGTTTTCATATGTAAAGCCCAGATGTTCATGCGGTGCCTAAGAGTAAATCTGTGGCATTAAGGTTTTGTGGGGTGTGCGGGGACAGGGTAGTGATAGCAGGAAGAAAGGCTGAGAAACACTGGGCTTGAGTGATCAGGCCAAGACCTAGTTCCTGCGCCGACAGAGCCTATGTTCTAACAAAGGAGGGTGGTCTGCGGCCATGTGCAACCTGGCCCACCCGACCCCCTGAGCTTCAAGCCCCTCCCCACACCTTATCCTCCTCTCCAGTCTCCTGTACTGTGCTGGGCTCTCACTTTCCAGTTACTCCCTGCCTCTTCCTGTGGGAGGATTTTCCTTCCTTGCCCGCGGATGTCAGCCTTGGCTGTACGGCCTGACTTGCTTTAGCCGGTGAAATGTGAGTGTGAGGGACATGTGCCGTTCCCAGGCATTGGAAACTTTAAGCGTCATCTTGTGGTTTTGCCACCTAACAGTCCTCCACCATGAGCCCAATGTGTTCCAGGCAGCTGCTCCTCCAGCCTCGGTCCTGGAATGAAGACACGGAGTATGTGCACAGTGGACGTGCAGCTTTGATGAAAAGCAAGCCTTTGCTGAGGCAGGGCGGGCCCCTGAGATGTGGGAGGTTGGTTGTTACCGCCACCTAACCTAGCGATAGCTGACTAACGTGCCCACCAATGCGCCATGCTTTCTCCTCACCTCCAGGCCTCCCCGCTGCTTAGGACATTTCCCTTCTTGGCCCTTGTTCCCTCTTGGCATCAGCTTAGATTCCACTTTCTCTATGAAGTTGAGACTTTACCTTCTCTCTCCCCCACAAAAAGAAAAAAGAAACCAGGCTAGGTATCTACTGAAAACAGAACAATAACCCTTCCAAAGATGTCCCTGGAACCTATGAATAATAGCAAATGGGACACTTTGCAGATATGGTTAAGGACCATAACACAAGGAGATTGTCCTGAATTATCCAGCTGTGCCCAAGGTAATCATAAGGGTCCTTAAAAGATGGAAGGAGAAAGCCAAAGAGTCAGAGAATGAGGTGTGATGAAATCAGAGTGATTCGACGGCTGGTTTTGAAGATGGGGGAGGG